ATCCGAAGCAAGTACGACCCCCCCTCTACAAACTCATCAAAATACGACCCCCCGTTGCTACTTGTAGCAACATAGGGTTGACCCTGACTCGAGGCGTTTCAACGATTCGCGGGCAGCGGTCGAGGCACAATCGACTCGGCGCGGCTTCGCGGAGGCAGTTACGTCAGGATGCAACTAAATATTTTGTAGAGGAACGGATTTCCACTAACGCCTTGAGTGAATTTTCGAAAGCGCATAGTCGCGCTTTTCCTACACACAGCGTTTTAGGCTCCCTACTTTCTTCACGATTTGGGGCGCGGACGAGTCGATAGTGCCCGCGAACTGTGTGGGTAAATTTGAAAACGCATCACCACCACAGTTCGCGGGCACTATCGACTCGTCCGCGCTCGCCGCGGCCGCGCTCTAAATCGTGAAGAAAGTGGGGGAGCCAGCGTTTTACACAAAATCAATTTTGGCGGAAGTTACGACCATTGAAACCAAAAAAATCGCATTTCCAAGAAGATGGCTTGGGCGCAATGTGGCTCGGGGGGGGGTAGGAGCAGGTCAACCCTGCGTTGCGCAAAGAACAACGAGGGGGTCGTATTCAGCCGACCGAAAAGGGAGGGGGTCGTATCCACAGACGGGCTGCAAGACGGCTTGAAAAGTGCAGTGTCCGGGAGTGCACTTTCAGCCTCTAATGTTCTCCAGGAGCTCTGCACGCTGTCGGAGAGTCACACAGACATGAGCTCCATGGGAGCATTAAAGCATGCAGAGCACTATAAGTCTCACCATCAGCTTATTATCCTTAAGCGGAGGCGGGCGCGAGTCGGCGGCCGCTTTTGCGCTCGCGGCATAAGCATAAGAATACAATAAGGGCAAAAACTTTGCTATACAGTGGTGAGTGCAAATGACATGGGGCCTGGTCTATCATGTACGAACATTCCTGAAATCCCGAGGAGAACAAACTGTAGAGCAGTTCATGGGAAAGTGAAACAAGAGTGCCATATAACAGCACAATACAACTCAATCAGGATACTAACACCTTCTTCAGGAAAACAGAAGACTTCAAAATGCGAGTGCGAACTCTGCCCACAGATAGGTGCACGGCGTATACCCGAGGCGTTTTCCCATAAAAACGCCTCCTCTGTCAGCGGCCGTAAGCAGACAAACTTTCTGAAGAGAGTTTCGATGCTTTCAAATGAAAATTTAAGTGAAATAAAGTGTAGCGAATTTTCTTAATTGAGTTCTAGAGAGCCGTAGGAAAAATGAGGCAAAAGAGAGAATTTTAGGAAAATTTCGCAAATG